GGGTGAGTGGTGGACAAGAGGGGGGGGGGTCATGACCGTGGCGGTGCTCTGGTGCTCTGCGCCGACCGAACGGCGGTAAAGCACCAGCGCCTCGCGGTAGAGCGCCGTCGCGCGCTCTCTCTCGCCGAGCGAGCGGTGTACGAGCGCTAGGTTGTTGACGGCACTCGCGCTGACCTGTCGCGGAGACAGGCTCGCAGTGTGTGCCGGTGCTGGTGTGAAGCTGGCGGGCAGGACGGGGACCGCCCGCTCTCACCGGGTGGTCGGGGCCAAAAAGAGAGCGTGCGAGCTCGCGGCACTCGGCTGCAGCGAGGCGTGCCTCGTCGTACTTTCCCGCAGCGTGGGCCTTTCCAATCTGCTGCTGAAGGGAGCGGATGCGAGCCTCCGTGGCAGGAGGCACATACGTCTCCGCAGCGGGACCGTGCTTCGCATGCAGCGGGTCATATCGCGAGTATGGCTCGGCGCTCTTCCCACGGCTCCAGCAGCGGAGTGGAGCTGCTGATCTCCACCTACGTCTTCCCACGGCTCCACCTAGGCCTGCTGCAGCCATCACCGTCGAATGTGCTGCCACCGTCGATGGTGGCGGACGCAGGGCAAAACCGCGGCTGAGCCGAGAGAACCGACGCACCGTGAGCTCCGCGCCGCAGAAGCCGCAGGCCAGCGTCGAGGCCATCGATGTAGCGCGCAGGGTTCGGACTTTTTGCGGGGTATGGTATGGTACTCTCGCGCAACCCACCTCGAGACCATACCCCCCCGCCTGCTGACAGACCCAGCCTCCCGGAGACCGGGGATGGGCGGTCAGGACCATACCCCCCCACCCTTGATTTGCCAACAATATACCTAAAACCCTTTGGGCCGCGACACTACCATACCATACCCCGCAAAAAGTTGGAACCCAGCGAAGAAGAATTTAAACACCTTACCTCTCTCTCACAGCACACAGGGTCGACACAGGTGCGAACTGGCGCGTGCTAGTACTATCACCGGCACACCACCGCGCACCGGAGCCGCCTAAGCGACTCCGTTAAGAACGGCAATGCATTCCGCACCGTGCACAATGCCGCTCTCCCCGCACGCTAGCTCGTTCACCGTCTGCCACGCCACGGCGGTGTGGAGGACGACAGACAAGCGCTGCATCTGCAGCCCGTGCCAGTTCTTGGTGGTCCATGTGACCTCGTCCAGGTGCTGAGCGTGCGAAAGTTTGTTGCTCAGCTGGTTCGCCGCCTCCCTCAGGGTGCTGCGAACCTCCTTTCCAAAGCCTCCGAAAGCCTCAAAATCAAACAAACGACAAACGTAGCAATCCTGCTCCCGCGCAAAGAAGAAATGGAAAACGTTTCAACAGTCCCCCCCTCTCTTCCTCTCTCCCG